ATAATGGAATGAATAAAGGTATATAATATTATATATAGTTTATTATTAAAAATAGTTAATTATAAATGATATATTATATTATAAGTTTGTAATGTCAACAAATATTATAATTATATTATTAATTTTTTTAGAATTTTAGCTGGTAAATTTTTATATCTAATCTAGCTGGATTTTTAGTTAAGACTTAAAAACAGTACTCTGAAAACAAATTTAAAATCAAATAAAAAAGAAGAATAGCTATGTAAAATTTTAATGGTTAAATCTTTTGGTAAATATTTTTTTTATAGATTAGATTCACAATTTAAGTTTTAAGGTAAACATCTAAAGAAATTAAATTTTTTTAAATACATTAAATTAATGTAAATGTGCATTTTTAAAATCATTTGATGAGAAATTAATTTTGAATTGCCGGAAGGTTTATTTAAGAATAGCATGATTGTAAATAAAAAAAAATTGCCATGCATAAAATCGAAATGTATAAAATTACATTCATATTAAAATCTGCATCAACTATTATTCAGAAAGTACGTAGCTAATTGTTAATAAAAAATAATATTAAGAATTTTCATTAATCTCGTAATGAAGATTTATTTTCCCAATATAAAATCTACAATATATATATATATATATATTTACACGAAACTCAAACTCATCCAACATTTTCACCTTCAACACTCACTCAGAAAAAAAGATACATTATATTATAAACAACATACAAACATCAACAGCATAAAATGCTGATATGCTATAACAATAATTCAAAGGAAAACGAGTTTAAGATTCACAACGGCCAAGAAGGCAGCCCAAGCCAAACAGGGCTTAACTAAATTGCCGGCGATCGGGTTCATTTCCCTGAACACCTTCGAGCACCCTGCCAGAGACCCGAATGTCGCCAGGCACACCACCAATCCGGCCCAACTTGCCCCAATCCGAAACACGACTATCTCCCAAGCCAGACCCAATCCTAGTTGGGCCAAGTAAAGAGACAGGGCGGTTGGGTTCTTGTGGAAACCGCCTTCCGCCCACACCAGCCACGCCGACAGACCCATCAAGAAGCTCGTAGTCATGCACGTCGCGTGGATGAGCCACAG